AGGCCCCCCTCGGGGAAGCCCGGGCCCGGGAGCTGGGGGTGCCGCCTCGTCCGGGTCGCGCTGGAGGCCGGGTCAGGGGGGCGCCTCCCCAAGGTCACCGGGGAGCGCGGGGAGGTCCCGGGTGTGCGGGACCGAGCCCGCCTCCCTCCGGGCTCAGGTGCGCCAGGTCCCGCGGGGCCTGGTGGCCCCGTCTCACCCGGAAAGAGAGGCTCGGGGCGCTTGCCGCCGCCCCGCTTCCTCACACCGGGTGCTCTCCAGCGCCTTGTCGGCCTGCCCCGGGGCCCTGGGCGTCCACGGTCCCTGCTGCCCCGAAGGGGACTTCGGGGACCTGAGTGTGAAAGCTGAGCCCCCGAGCTTCGGGGGCCCCGGGTGTCCCTCTTCCCTTCTCCCTGCGACGCAGAGGGGAGCGAGGCCCGGCAGGCAGGTTGCTTGCCCGGTTCCCGAGGGCTGCGGGGTCAAGTGCCGGCCGCGCGGGGCGGGAGCCCGGACTGGGGTTCTGGGTCCTGCAGCCTCGCCGAGGTTCCCCTTCGCCGGCGGGGAGGGGGGGCGGGGGGGGCAGAGGGCGCTGGGGTGCCGGTCGGGCGCCGGGGGAGGAGGCGGCCGCAGGAGGGAGGCAGGGGGGCGGCCGGGCACCCGCAGTCCCGCCGGCCGTGCTGTCCCCGCTCTGCCCCGGCCCCGGCTCGGCCTCCAGGGAGCAGGCAGGTGCTCTCCTCCCGGGGGTCAGCGGAGTGACCCGAGCGGAGCCGCCCGGCGTGTCCTCGGGGGTCCCCGTGGGGTCCCGTGGGGTCCAGTGGGGGTGCCCATGCGTGTGTCCGCGAGTGGACGGCAGTGGCCCAGCCCGTCTCTGATGGCCCCGCTCTGGGACGGCGTCTTGTGTGCCGGCGCCTGGGGTGTCAGTGTCGGAGGGGGGCCCCGAGGCCCAGGTGAGCGGTGGGGCTGCTGCCTGTGGGTGCGCACCGGCCCCTGCACCAGCTTCTCGGGACCCCCTCCAGGTGGGGACCCCCTCCAGGTCGGGACCTCATCCAGGTCGGGACCCCCTCCAGGTGGGGACCCCCTCCAGGTGGGGACCCCCTCCAGGTCGGGACCCCCTCCAGGTGGGACCCCCTCCAGGTCGGGGCTCCGGGGGCGCCCTGTGGCTTCTGTGCTCAGGGAATTGTGGCTGCTGGACGAGTGGGAAATGCGCTTCTTCATGGAGCTGCAGGACTGGCTGTGGGGGCTGAGGGGGCGGGGCTGTGAGCCCTGAGCCGACAGCCCAGGTTCTTGGCGATTCTGGGAGTTGACTGCTCTGGCTCCGCCAGTGGGGGTGGGGCGGGGGGGGGGGGCATCCTCTTGACCCAGAACTGGGTCCTGACTTCCCAGGCTCCCAGCGCACCAGCCCTCCAGACAGACTCCCGGCTGCCTCTGGGCTGTGGCCGCAGCCCCAGTGCATGGGCCCGGCCTGTGCGCACCGCACCGGGGGCTGTGGGAATGTGCGGAGGTGCCTGGGGCGTCGGCTGAAGGCCTTTGGATGCCTGAGCGCCAGGAAGCTGGTTCTTTACTCCTGTGTCTGTTGCAGGGAGGGAAGGCCTGCCCCCATGACCTGGCCCTGGGGTGGAGCGGTGGGAGCCAGTCCTGGTTGAGTCCTGCCCCACCACTAACGAGCTGCTAACTGACCGTGTGTCCCCGACCCGCTTAGCCATGCAGATGGCAGGTGACGGTGCCGTCAGCGTCAGCACCTCCTGGCAGGACACAGGGGCCTTCCAGCCCCTGCCTGTTTGTGCACCCGCTTCCCCTTGGCGTGTGGGCCTCGCTGGCCATCAGCGCGCTCACAGGTCTGTCCGTGGAGGACAGGGCCGTGGTGCTGTCATCCCCCGAGTGTCCAGTGCCATCCTGAAGACCACCGGGCCTCTCTCCAAAATCAATAAAAACCTGTATTTAAAAAGGCATTGAAGGCGGCACTGTAGAGTGTTGGTTGTTTACCCTGTGCCCGTGGCTGCCCGGAGCCGTGCTCTCTGCCCCTGCCCAGTGCTGGGTATCACTAGCCCGAGAAAGCACATCAGAGTTAAAGGCTCCGGACAGTGTCCACGGAACACGACTGCTTTTGACCCTCGGGAAATCGAACGATTGTAAGTTGAAGCATCGGAAGTCAGGGACTGTCTGTATTTAGTTTTTCTTTTTTGGTCTGTTACTGTGAATTACATTGGCTGCACATAAAAATACTGAGCTAACCTTGTATTCATAGGATAAACCCCATTTAGTCATGACATATTATCCTTTTTTACATGTTGGATATGATTTGATAAAATATTGTTCAGAAGTTTTGCATTTGTATCTATGAAGGATATTGGTCTATAGTTTTATTATGTTTTCTTTATTATTTTTGTCTGGTTTTGTTATCAGACTAATGCTGGCCTCTGTCAGTTGGGAAGTATTCCCTTATTTTTTGTTTTCCTGGAAGAATTTGTGTAGAGTTGGCATTATCTCTTCCTTATCAAGAGAGGAGTGTTGGAATCTCTACTATAATTTGGATTTGTGTATTTCTCCTTGCATTTTTATCAGTTTTGGCTTTGTGTATCTTGAAGCTCTATGATTAGCTGCATAAATGTTTAGGATTGTATGTCTCTGAAATCTATTTTGCCTGATATTAATGTAGACACTCCAGTTTTCTTATAACTAGTATCAGCTTCATTTTTCTTTTCCATCCTTCCACTTTAACTTCATGTTAACATATTCAAGTTTTGACTATGGCTTCTTTTTTCTTTTTTTAAAAAATATATTTTATTGATTTTTTACAGAGAGGAAGGGAGAGGGATAGAGAGTTAGAAACATCGATGAGAGAGAAACATCGATCAGCTGCCTCCTGCACACCCCCCACTGGGGACGTGCCCGCAACCAAGGTACATGCCCTTGACCGGAATCGAACCTGGGACCCTTCAGTCCGCAGGCTGACGCTCTATCCACTGAGCCAAACCAGCTACGGCTTCTTTTTTTTTTTTTTTTAACTCCTTTAAAAATTTTTTATTTTATTGATTTCTTTTTGAGAGAGAGAGGCAGGGAGAGAGAGAGAAAGGGAGAGATTTGTTGTTCCACTTATTTATGTGTTCATTGGTTGATTCTTGTACGTGCCCTGACCAGGGATTGAACCCTCAATCTTGGAATATTGGGAGGATGCTCTAAGCAACTGAGGTGCTGCCTGGCCAGGCTGCCCATGGTTTCTTGAATATGTGAGATGCAGTTATAATAACTATCTACGTGTTCTTGTCTATTAACTTTTCCTCTGCATCATTTCCAGTCAGTTTGCATTGATTGGTTCGCCCTCGTTATGGGTTGTATGTATATTTGCTTCTTTGAATGCCTGGTAATTTTTACTGAATGTCAGACGTTGCTCTTTTACCCTGTTGGGTAGTTTCGTGTTCCTGTCGTTCCTGAGCTTGGTGCTGGGATGTGGCTAAGTCGCCTGGGAGTGGTTTGACCTTCTAGGCCTGCCTCTCGCTTTGTTAGCTGAGACCATGGTGTTTAGTGTGGGACTCATTTTATTCTTTACTGAGGCAAATGTTTTTTTTTTTTGTAAAGCTAGAATTTATTTCTACTTAAAAAATGCTCAAGAGACTTTAAAAAGGCCCAAGGGTGTCCAGGGTTAAGACCACCCTGAGTTTCAGTTCCTTCCTTACTGAGGCAACAATTTGATCCATGTTAATGAAACACCCCAATAATTTGGGTTGAATCATGGTGATTTCCTCTGACTCCCAGTATCTTTCATAAATGGCCATCAGCTTATGAACGATGAAACACGTAATACCAGAAATAATCACGAAACGTCTTCAGGTTCTACTTGAATATCCTTTCTGCATTATTCTTCGCAACCAGGCCCAGTGATGATCAGTTTGAGTGGCAGAGATCATGAGTGGTACCTGCAGAGACTGGTATTAAGTGCAGCCCTTTTAGAACAGAAACCAGCAGACACTCTTCAAGACGAAACACCCCAGGCAAATCCTTTTTATTTTATTTTAATTTAATTTTTAAAAGAATAGTTTATTGCCGAAACCGGTTTGGCTCAGTGGATAGAGCGTTGGCCTGCGGACTGGAGGGTCCCAGGTTCGATTCCGGTCAAGGGCATGTACCTGGGTTGTGGGCACATCCCCAGTAGGAGATGTGCAGGAGGCAGCTGATCGATGTTTCTAACTCTCTATCTCTCTCCCTTCCTCTCTGCAAAAAATCAATAAAATATATTAAAAAAAATAAAATAAAATAAAGAATAGTTTATTGATTTTTAGAGAGAGAGGAAGGGAGAGAGAAAGAGAGAAACATCAATGTGAGAAACATCCATCAGCTGCCTCCTGCATGCCCCCTACTGGAGATCGAGCCCACAACCCGGCATGTGCCCTGACCTGGAATCAAACCAGCAACCTTTCGGTGCACAAGATGATGCCAAACCAACTGAGCTACACTGGCCAGGGAGAGGCACATTTCTTTTTTTTTTTTTTTTTAATATATTTTATTGATTTTTTACAGAGAGGAAGGGAGAGGGATAGAGAGTTAGAAACTTCGATGAGCGAGAAACATCAATCAGCTGCCTCCTGCATGCCCCCTACTGGGGATGTGCCTGCAGCCAAGGTACATGCCCTTGACCGGAATCGAACCCGGGACCCTTGAGTCCGCAGGCCGACGCTCTATCCACTGAGCCAGACCGGTTAGGGCAAGCACATTTCTTGTGTGTGGTCTTCCTGCTGCCCTGGGAGTCCTGGTGTTTTCCCCTCTGGCTGCCAGGAGCTCAAGGGATTGTTTCTGCTCACCTGTTTGGGTGGCTCTCCTGGCCTGGGGGTTTCTTCTCAAACATGGTGGTGTATTCGTTTTCTAAGGCTGCTATAACAAGTAACCACAAACATCACTGTCTAAACAGCAGACACTTATTATCTTTTCTTTTTTTACAAAATTTTAAAATTGATTTCAGAGGGGAAGGGAGAGGGAGAGAGAATCATTGATTGCTGCCTCATGTATCCCCCACACTGGGGATCCAGTCTGCCACCTGGGCATGTGTCCTGACTGGGAATCCAACCGTGAGCTCCTATTCATAGGTTGATGCCCAACCACTGAGCCACACTGGCTGGGTAGACACTATCTTAAAGCCCTTGAGGTCAGTAGTCTGCCAGGGATCTCACCAGGCTAAGTTCCTTTCTGGGGGCTCCGGGGAGGATCCTTTTCCTACTGTTTTGGGTTGTTGGTAGAATTTTGTTCTTCGTGTGTGTAGGACCGAAGTCCCTGTTTGCTGGCTGGCTATAAGCTGAGGGATGTTTCCAGCTCCTGGAGCCACCCACGTGCCTTGGCTCGGAGCCTCCTCCTTCCATCCCCAAAGCCGGGCGTGGAAGGTTGAGTCCTGGAAGGGCTTTGACTGCCTCCTCCTCCGGCCTCTCCTTCCCCCGCTGGGATAGGTTGTCTGCTTCTAAGGACTCACCCACATAGTCCAGGGGAACCCCACCCCAGTCTGTACCCTTCATTCCATCTGCTAGATCCCGTTTGCCCCCAAACCTACCATAGTCACAGGTTCTGGAGAGGACGGACTAGGCATCTTGGGAACACGATTCTGCTGTCCGCACTGCCCAGTATAACAGCCGAGTGACCAGGGACCCTGTGCAGGTCTCTGGAATTCTCTCTGGTCCTAGAGCTGCAAAGGCCAGCAGGACCTAGGCCTCCGGAGACTGCCCAGGCCACCTCCTCAGCCCCAGGGGGATGGCAGCTAAGCCTGAGCGGGCCCTCCCGGCGGTGAGCTGGGGTGACCTCCGGTCCCTCGCCCTTCACTCCTGATGTCCACCACCATTTGTTTTGTCCAGTTTTCCAGTTGTTTGGCTGGGAGGAACTGGGTCCATTACTCCCATGGGGCTGGGAGCTGACGTCTCTTATGCTGACTTATTTTCGTTTGCTCCTGTTTGGGTTGGCTGAGCATGGCCCTTCGCACGCCTATCAGAGGCCTTCCCAGCTGGGTGAGTTGGAGCTGGTTTAGCCCTTGTTTTGTCGAAGGCACTGGAGACAGGCAGCTGTGGCTTTTCACGGGGCAAAGCCTCTGCCCAGGCACGGGCTGCCCACCTCCTGGACTAGACCAGGTCTGGGAACGCAGGATTAGGTTCCATGTGAGGGGTGCCCGCCTTTTGAAGTGGGTTCTGTGGGCCCTTTCAGGAGCCTCACGACCACCTGACAGCCACGGTGCTTTTCCGCCCTCAGCCTTGTGGGGTTTGAGGTTGTGCCTTCTCCTTGCTCTGCCCAAAGGGAATACATATTTTTATTTCTTGTTTTCCTTGTGATGTTCAGCTGCTTTCCAGGAAGAAAGCAGAAACGCCCTGTGGATCCATCCTCTTCAAACCAGTCTTCTCCATCTGCTTCCTGTCCGCCTGGGATCCCTGGAAGTTTCTGGTCTGCTAATTTCATCTTTCTGGTTTTCTAGTGCTCTTGTGAGTTTACTCTCTTAAAACACACCCCTCTCCTGTCACTTCCCTGAGGCGTGGTGACGGGTGAATGTGCAGGACCCGTCTGCCATCTTGAACTGGATTCTCCCGTATTTGATTCCCCAGCTCCCCTGTCATGTGGGTCTCCACGCTGCGTCTTCCCGCCTGTGTACAGGCACACAGCGTCTTCCCGCCTGTGCACGGCCACACAGCGTCTTCCCGCCTGTGCACGGCCACACAGCGTCTTCCCGCCTGTGCACGGCCACACGGCGTCTTCCCGCCTGTGCACGGCCACACGGCGTCTTCCCGCCTGTGCACGGCCACACGGCGTCTTCCCGCCTGTGCACGGCCACACGGCGTCTTCCCTCCTGTGCACAGGCACACGGCGTCTTCCCTCCTGTGCACAGCCACACGGCGTCTTCCCTCCTGTGCACAGCCACACAGCGTCTTCCCGCCTGTGCACAGCCACACAGTGACTTCCCTCCTGTGCACGGCCACACGGCGTCTTCCCGCCTGTGCACGGCCACACAGCGTCTTCCCGCCTGTGCACGGCCACACGGCGTCTTCCCGCCTGTGCACGGCCACACGGCGTCTTCCCGCCTGTGCACGGCCACACGGCGTCTTCCCGCCTGTGCACAGCCACACAGCGTCTTCCCTCCTGTGCACAGGCACACAGCGTCTTCCCTCCTGTGCACAGGCACACAGAGTCTTCCCGCCTGTGCACGGCCACACAGCGTCTTCCCGCCTGTGCACGGCCACACGGCGTCTTCCCGCCTGTGCACGGCCACACAGCGTCTTCCCGCCTGTGCACGGCCACACGGCGTCTTCCCTCCTGTGCACAGCCACACAGCGTCTTCCCTCCTGTGCACAGGCACACAGAGTCTTCCCGCCTGTGCACGGCCACACAGCGTCTTCCCGCCTGTGCACGGCCACACGGCGTCTTCCCGCCTGTGCACGGCCACACAGCGTCTTCCCTCCTGTGCACAGGCACACAGAGTCTTCCCGCCTGTGCACGGCCACACAGCGTCTTCCCGCCTGTGCACGGCCACACGGCGTCTTCCCGCCTGTGCACGGCCACACAGCGTCTTCCCGCCTGTGCACGGCCACACGGCGTCTTCCCGCCTGTGCACGGCCACACAGCGTCTTCCCGCCTGTGCATAGGCACACAGTGGTGGCGCCGCAGTCCTTGCGAAGGGAATGAAGGGCAGTGGGCTCACCAGCGAGCAGAGGACATGTGTGTTAGGAAGCAGGTGGCTCCGCACCAAAGGCCTGGGCCCGCGGACCTGACAGCTCCTGGGAGAGTATGACGGAGGCCTGAGGGTGCCAGGCAGTGGCGGTCAGAGGCCCTGCATGGCTAATGGAGGTGGTGGTTTGGTGCTTGGAGGCACCTGATGTTTGAAAGTTGCCCCTCTCAACCCCCGGGCTGTGGTTTCAGGTGCTGCTTGTCCAGCCCTCTCAGCCCCCAGGGGCTTGTTTAATCTCCACCTGGGGGACCCTGGCTCTGAGCGGCTCAGGGCCCTGTTCTTGGCCCTCAGGTTTCCCTGCCACACAACCCCCAGGACCCCCGGCCTTAGTGCGTCCTGACCTCCCTTCAGAGTGAAGGCAGGTGCCTTGGGTGAAGCCAGTGACCTCGCCTGCCCAGGGATGGGCCTTGGGGGCCGACAGCTGCTGCAGGACCCCGGGTGCGGGACAGGAGAGTGCGACCTGCGGGACCTGCGGGACCTGCGGAGGGGAGGGCGCTCTTCCTCCCCGCGAGCAGCCCAAGCGCAGCAGAGACCGCCCCGCAGAACCCCGCGTTTAAGTTGTGCTCTTTTCGCAGACATAGTGACTGCCGCGATGCGATCCAGGAGGCTGTGAATTCAGTATTGTGCCCTGGTTACGCCAGGTTTGAGAAGGCGCTGTCCATGTTCGCGCCGGGCGAGAGGAAGCCGAGACCTCCGAGACCCCCGCGATGAGCGAGCCCTACGTGAAGAGTGAGTGCCGCGGTGGGCGGGCCCTGGAGGCGCCCCACCCGCGCCAGCACCAGGTCTGAGTCCTCCCACCGGCCTGAGCACGCGCGTGGGCTTTGTCGCCACAGAGCTGTCCACCATCCTGCTGGACTCCGTCACCGACAAGGACCCCCTGGTGCAGGAGCAGGTATGCAGCGCCCTGTGTGCCCTTGGGGAGTCGCAGCCAGAGGAGACGCTCAGCGCCTGTGAGGAGCACCTGCGGCAGCACGAAAAGGTGTGGGACCGGGGCACGCCTTGCCGTTCTTGGGGCGGGGCCTGTGGTGTGTGGACGGTGTATTGAGATTGGGGGGGTGGGTGGGACGTGTGGGGTCAGCTTGCTCTGGGGGTGGGGCCTGCACTGTGGGGGCGGGGCTGCGGGGGTCGGTTTGCTTTGAGGGCGGGGCTATGGGCAGGGAGGAGAGGGGCCTTGGGGTCTGAAGGGAGGGGCTGGGCACATAAGTCACTGGGCAGGAAGGCGAAGTCCAAGCTCTCTCCAGGCTAGGCTCTGGGGGGGCAGAGGCGGGGACTGAGGGTTGGTACCATCCCGAGACTGGGTGTTCAGCTGCAGCTCCTGTCGCTGGCGAGCCAAGGCCTAGTGTGGCCATCCCCTTTCACTCACTGGCTGGAGACTGGATGGCTCTCTCTGCCAGGGTCTGTGCTGTCCCAACCAAGGGAGAGAAAGCCATTCATCAGCTACAATCACAGGAGCACGTGGACAGGGGTGGGAGGTGGGCACACCCTCCAGAGGGGGCTGCGGAGGAGGGCAGGGCCTCCTACAGACTTGGCTGACTTGTCAGAGGCAGGACAGGCTCGGGCTGCCTGTTGGCTGTACGGTGGTTCCCCTTATCCACAGTGGAGACGTTCCAAGACCCTCAGTGGACGCCTGACTCCGAGATGGTATTGAGCTCTGTACATACTGTTTTTCCTGTACCTACTCACCTTGCACTTAGTGGAAACACGGCCTCTCTTTGGCATACCTGGCGTCAGCATCACTAGTTTTGCGCTCTGTGGCCATTCCTAACTAAGTATAATAAGGGTGACTTGAACCCAAGCACTGCAACACCATAGCATTCGATCTGATAGCCAATGGGTACTCGTGCCTACTCGGCGGAGAGTGTATAGATCCTGGGGGCACTGGACAGAGGGAGGACTCGCACCCTGGGCTCAGAGCACCACACGGGATGGCAGGATCCGCTGCTCGCCATCTGCTCTTCGTTGGGCTGCACGGTCACCTGGGCCCTTCTGGAGACCAAGGGCCTCTGTTATGTGCAAGGCGTGAAGTGGGTCCTGAGGGCCAGGAGGAATGCTCCGTGTGGGGCAGAGAGGGGGGATGTTTTGAGCAACCCCCATGGAGAGCGCTGGAGGCCCTGGCCGGGTGCCTGGGCCTTCAGCTCACCTTCCGGGCCCTTCCTCAATGGTTTCTCTCCTCAGCTGGCGCATCCTTACCGGACGATGATCCTGAGGGCCATGGAGACGATCGTGAGCAATCACATCAGTGAGCTGGACAAGGACATGACCAGGGCCATCATCCTCCTGGCCTCCAGCGAGATGACCAAGGTGAAGGTATGTGCTGCTGGCCAAGCCCCCTCAGAGGCCATGCGCTGCCCCTGCTGGATGTGGCCATGGCTCAGGGGCTTCTTTCTCGCCCAACTTGCTAGCATGTGGGTTTGGGTCTGGCTGCCTCGGGGTTGGCCCCTCGGTTCTGCACACTGACCGCCCTCCTGGGTGGGGAGGGCCACCCTGTCATTTCAGAGGTGGAAACCGAAGCAGAAGAAAATTCCTAAGCTCTCGGGTGAATGGAGGGGCCCAGTGCCCGCATCCCGATGTTGGGGGACGGAGCCAGGCTCAGCATGGGTCCCTTCTCCCAGGGCTGTGCTCCTTCTGCAGTGGCGCCTGGAGTGGGCGCTGGGCTTGAGTCTCTGGCAAGCGCTCACTGGGGAGCCTGAAGACAGCGCGACTGAGGGCAGGCTGTACATTTTGCCTCTCGGGCAACTGCAGGGTGAGGGCCCGCACCCTTTTCCTGGCTGGGATGACAGGTCACGTTTTCTCTGGGGTTGCAGGACCTGGTTTCTGACTGGCAGCAGGCTGCCAGCAGCGTCCTCGTGGCGGTGGGCAAGCGCTTTGTTGGCATGGTGATGGAGGAGATGCTGGGCAAGTTCCAGCCTGGGGTCCTGCCGCACTGCTTCGTGGTGCAGACGTTAGCCAACCTCTCGGTCTTCAATGGTAGGTGTCGACTTGGCCTCCACCCCTTCACCTGCGTTCTCGAGCGAGCCGTGAGTTCCTCTGAGCCCTGCTGGCACCTCGGTTCCTCCTGTCTCAGCAGCCTTGCCACCTGCCCTGGGCTGAGCGGAAAGAGCTCAAGGCCCTACAGCGTGTGGTGGGCACAGGGTGTGGGAGAGACAGGCAGGGGTGGTGCAGGGCTGCTGTGACGCCCGTCTGTTGCAGTGTTCGGCATGGTGCCCTTCCTGACGTCTGTTCTGAGCACCATGCTGCCCATGCTGGGCATGGCCAAGCACGATTCCATGAGGGTGGTGTTCTGCTGTGGTAAGTCGGGGCCTCCAGCACAGCTGGGGTCTTTAAAGGGTGGGGGCTGGGTGCTGCCTGACCTTTCCTTGACCTTTTGTCTTCAGGACACCTTTGTGGGGGCCATGGGTCCTTCAGGCTTCAGGAGGAGGGCAGGACAGTGAGAGGAAGGGTGACTGGTCTCCCTGTGTCTGTGTTCTCGTCTTATGAGGACACAGTCCTATTGTATTAGGATCCACCCCACTGTGACCACGTTTTAACTCATTATATCTGCAAAGACCGTATTTCCAAAAAAGGCCCTATCCTGAGGGCTTGGACATGAACTTGGGGGGACAGTGCTTGCCCAGTGTAGTCCAGGAATCCCAGCCTGGATGGTGCTCTGGGGTGGTCATCGGTTTGGAAGGGACAGCACGCACACTAGGTGTGAAGCCCGTGTCCACTCGCCACTCACCACCCGGTTGCCGCAGCCCTGCAGCGCTTCAGCGAGAGCACCCTTGAGTACTTGGCCAACCTGGACCAAGCCCCAGACCCCACAGTCAGGAAGGACACCTTTGCCTCCGACATCAGCAGTGCCTATGACACCCTCTTTCACCACTGGCTGCAGAGCCGCGAAGCCAAAGTATGCCTCACCTTGCTGGCCAGCCCCTCCCCCCCAAGCCTGCCCACCCAGGCCCCTCCCACTGCCTGGGCTCCTCTGCTCTTCTGTGGGGAGGGATGGGGCTATCTGTGTACACCTGTCCCCATCCAGTGCCCTTCAGTCAGGAGGTGGGGATCTCATCAGGGAGGAGACGTGCCCTGTGCAGTCTCACCTGCAGGTCCTCTCAGAGTGCACTGATTTCTGAGCCCCAGTTGCCATGGACACCACCTCCCGTCCTCACCCATGATGACTTGGGGGAAGGCGAGGAGTGGCGACAGTACGTGGCCTAGCCCCATTCGGACCCTGTCATGTGGTTTCCTCCCATCAGCCCTGGGTTCTTGGTGGATGAGCTCTTTGCCACTCTGTCCCCGGTGGGCTGTGAGCGTTGCCGCATGGTTTGTCCTGCTTCCCCTTCAGCTCCGGCTCGCTGTGGTGGAGGCCCTGGGACCCATGAGCCACTTGCTGCCCAGTGAGAAGCTGGAGGAGCAGCTCCCCAAGCTCCTGCCCGGAGTCCTTGCCCTCTACAAGAAGCACGCCGAGACCTCCCACGTGTCCAAGGTGAGAGCTCAGCCAGGGTCTGGTAAAGAACATCCCCTCCTGGGAGCAGGAGTGCCCTGAGCCACTCAGGTTCCGTGGTCGTGGGGACCAGCCACGTTTCTCCCACCTGCACTGGACAGCAGCCGGGAACCTGCACCACGGCCTCTCCCCGTGTCCCCTTTCCTGATCCCTCCCCTCCCTCTGACTTGTAGAGGTGGGGGCAGGGCTGGGGGCTTCAGGCGGGACTGACGGCCCCTCTGCCCAGCAGAGCCTGGGCCAGATCCTCGAGGCGGCAGTGAGCGTGGGCAGCCGCACACTGGAGGTCCAGCTGGATTCGCTCCTGGCCGCTCTGCACGCTCAGGTAGGCTGCAGGAGTGGTGCTGGGGGTGTGCCTGTGGAGGGCACACTGGCACGGGGTGAGTTGCAGGGAGCACTCGGGGGGGCCCTGGGAGGGCCTGGTCCAGGGAGAGGTGTGGAGGTCATGGGAACTTGGCAGGGGCTCCTGTGTCACATGGACATGGATTAGGGGAAATAGCCTCTGACCTCAGTCGATGCCGAGAAAGGTCAGCACTCAGTTATCCTTAGAACTGTCAGCTGCTGGGATCCGAGAGGACTTCCTTTAACTTGATAAAGTTTGTTTACCCACACCCTCCGCGTGCGTCCTACTGAGTGGGAGACAGGCACATTCCCATCAGGGTCAAGGGCATAAAGACCCCACTCATCCCAGTTCTAGGAGGAGGGAGACAAATGGGACGTGTGGCTCGGTGAGAGGAGGGACTGTCCTTATCATTTCTCCCGAGTCCTGGTCCCCGCTTTGTGTTTCCCCTTGGTTCTGACCTCCTTTTACTTTTATTTTTATTGTATTTTTTATTTATTTTTTAAAAATATTTTTTGTAGATTTCAGAGGAAGGAAGAGGGAGAGAATCATTGATCGGCTGCCTCCTACTTGCCCCCCACTGGGGATTGAGTCTGCAACTCGGGCCTGTGCCCTGACTGGGAATCGAACCGTGATCTCCTGGTTCATGCTCAACCACTGACCCACACCAGCCCAGTTCTCCTATACTTTTTAAATCACATCTTTAAAAGTTTTTGGCCTCCAGTCAGGTAACTTACAAAGTGTGTGTTCATCCCTGTTTATGGTATTGGTAAGGCTTCCGGTCGCAATGGGCTATTAGTAAGTTTTTGGGTAGTTGAAGTTATGTGTGGATTTTTGACTGCTCGGGGGTCAGCGCCCCTGACGCCGAGAGTTCAGGGGTCAACTATATCAGTGACTGCTCGCTGGCCCTCCTGCCAGAGGGACCCCTGTGTGAGGCTGGGTTCTGTCTGTTGCTCACAGCTGTGTCCACCCCTAGAGCAGCTCCTGTCACTTGTGAGCACTCAGTGGTTCCTGTGTGGATGGCTGTTATCCAGAAACCATTCACGTGGGCACTGAGTCAGTGCACCCCCTTAGAACTAACCAGACACATCAACAGCATTCCTCTCACCAGCAGTGATCCGTGGAAAGGACAAAAGAAAAAAAGAAGTCCTTTATTTTGGGGCTGTTTATGATATTTGTTTGCAACATAATTTTCACGTCATCCTTAATCTGTATTCTGTTTTACACTCAGGTTTCCTTATACTCAGCCCCTTGATCCCACACTTGCTTGTCAGATTCTCCCGTTTCCTTGTACTTGTATTGTTGAATCCGCCGGAATTTCTTTTAGGGAAAAGCGAGTGAGAATCCAGGTTTGCCTTTCTTCCACGTGACCACCAATTTGCATTAGTTGCTACTGTAACTGGTGACTGTAAAACGTAGCACCTTAAACAGAAACTATGTATCTCACAGTCACGTGGCCAGACACCCCAGAGCAGCTGCCAGAGGCTCTGACGGGGTCCTGGGTGGTTGCCCTCCCTGCTGGGCTGCAGACTCTGCTCCCACGGCTCCTCTCGTGGCTGCAGGCAGAGGCGTGGTTCCTGGCCGCACGGCTCTGCTTAGGACTGCGTGAGAGTCCTCAGGACCTGGCTCTCCTCTTCCAGAGTGAGCGCGTCACGGCAGAGCGGGCAGGAGGAGGGCCTTTGGGACCAGGTCAGGGCTCTACAACGGGAACTCTAGTGCAGCACCTGCTTCTCCAGCGCCGAGAACTGGCTGAGCACAGACGGGCAGGCCTATGGGTCAGGGCTTCCCTGAATGTCAATCACCTCTCTGGCTCACAAGCTGGGCTCTACTGAGGCCGGCAAACTCCTTCCCCTCGAGACAGCCCAGCTGCGTGCTCGGAATCCCGTCAGCCTCCCTGTCCCACCACCCCACCCCACCCCACCCCGCAGGTGCGGCCAGCCCATGACCTGCGCCTGGCTGTGGCTGATTTGGGTAGACGCCCGGGGCCCTCAGCAGTGTGTGAGCTGGGTGCTTTGTCAGGAGCACGTGGCCTGCCCTTCCGCCCAGCCAGGCGCGGGGCGGCAGTGCCATCGTCACCCCTGTCCCTGGCCGCAGATCTGTGTGCCTGTGGAGACTTCCAGTCCCCTGGTGACGAGCAACCAGAAGGAGGTGCTGCGCTGCTTCACAGTGCTGGGTGAGTGGCTGCCTGGTCCGGGCCTGGGCCTGGCGGCAGCCTCAGCATGCATCCACCTCTGCCTGGGCCTGGGTGGGGCTGCAAGGGCCTCAGTCCCAAGTGTGCCCCCTGCTGGCAGGTTTGGAGGTGTAGGCAGCAAGGAGCAGGGGCAAATCCTTACTGTCTGTGCGCTCCCCTGCAGCATGCTGCTCGCCCGAACGCCTGCTGGCCTTCCTGCTGCCCAAGCTGGACACCAGCAATGAGAGGACCCGTGTGGGCACCCTGCAGGTTCTGAGGCACATCATCAACTCAGCCGGTGAGTGCACAGGGCAGGGCCGAGAAGCTGGTGAGGGGCGTCTCGCTTTGAATTCTTTAGAATTGTTCCCAACTTCCGATTTTGCAAAGTTGCAAACATTTTGAAAAGTTTGCCTCTGACACCGGCTGCAGATGCCAGATGCTGCATCCTGACCCCAGGCTGTGAATGGATGGCCTAGAGTTACACGATGAGACAGACCACGTCTGCAGCAGCTGCCTGGAGGGCCATGGCTGGTTCCTCCAGGTCCCTAGGAGTGGTGCTCGCTCCTTCTCTTTCTTCTGGCCTCACTCATTGTCACTGAAGAATCTGATGGCCGCACGCTGGTCAGCTGCCTCTTGGATGGGCCTTCGGGGAAGTGGGCCAGCTGTCCTGTAGAATGTCCCTAGGTCTGCTTGTGTCTGACGGTTTCCTCACAGTAGGATGGGAGGTTCCAGGTTTCCTGCTTTGACGGCTGATTTGCCCAGCATGGAGCTGGAGCCTATTTCGCACCGAGTTGTGTTCTCAATGCTGCTTGAACTGCCCGGCTACCGCCTGCGTGCAGAGGCCACGTGAGGCCTGCAGTCCGTGGGCTGGGAGGGCTTTTTAACATGAACAGGCTGCAGAGGCGAGCAGAGGTGATGGAGACCTCACGTGGCCCTGTGTCGGCAGGGTCTTCTCTTTGGCCTGCTAAGGAGCAAGGGTGCTGACCCCGTCCCGTGAGGGTCAGGGTCAGGCCGGGTGCTAACAGCACCGTGGATGTGAGGCAGCTTGGGGAGGGGCAGGGACAGGGGACAGTGGCAGCCCAGACAGACCCATCCTGCAGCACACTGACTCCTGAATAAGGAACCCCCACTGCGTTGTTTCAGAATTCTTGTTTGGGACTTTCTATGGTTTGTATCATCTTTGCCCATCTTCTATATTTTTAAAACATATTTTTAAATTGATTTCAGAGGAGAAGGGAGAGGGAAAGAGAGACTGAAACATCAATGATGAGAAAGAATCGTTGGGCCTTTATACTTGGTCAGTTTTGTTGGTTATAAAATTTTTGGCTCACACTTCCTTGACTGTCCTGTTGCCCTAAACTGTCAACCTTTCTAGCTTTTTAATGGGAAAAATGTTATTTGTCTCCTGGAGAGAAGTGGTGGGTTTTGCTTGTACACTCCCCTCGCCTCCACGTGGAGGGCCATGCTGAGGCTGGACCCCAGCCACAGGCCTTGGGACTCTTGGTGGTGAACAGGCCAGCTGGCCTTGGTCTCAATGGGGAGGCTGAGCCACCTGTTCGTTTCTTGCAGCTGCTCAAATGGGAAGTCCACAGCATATGGCGACTGACCTTCATTGCAGAGCTTGAGAATGTGGAAGAGGCAGGGAAGGAAGTCTCTTCCCCAAGATGCATGGCCTGTCTTTTGCATTTGAGGATTCTGGCGAGGCCGGAGTAAATAACGTAGTCTGTCCAGGCTGCTGAAACAACACACCAGAGACTGGGTGCTCATAAACCCAGACCTTTGTTGCTCACGGTTCTGGAGGCTGGGAAGTCCAAGTTGGGTGCTGGTGAATCCAATGTCCAGTGAGGGCCCCTTCCTCATTGACAGCCACCTCTCCCTATAACCTCACGTGGCAGAAAGCGGCAACGGAGCTCTCTGGGTCTTTATAAGGGCACCAGTCCCATTCATGAGTGTTCATCCTCATGACCTAATCATCCTCAAAGGCTCCTGACACCT